TTGTCAGGTAAGTGGTATCAAATGTAACAGCATTACCGAATTCCTTATACGCTTGCCTGCAGTGATTATCTGTCCAAAATACAATCCTCAACAGCGAATCTTCATTAAAATCTATGCTGAAATAAAATTCCGAACACTGTGCTTGCATTTTTGAAAAGTATGACTGTATTGCTATAGCATCTCCTTCTCCAAATCTTAATCGTATCACTTTTTCAATGTAATTTCAACAATCCTTTTCCACGCAACTTATGCTCTCGTAACCACCTACATCCACGACTGCAGAATTGTAACTTTTATGCAATGGAATTCCTGCAAAATCTCACTTGTAGCTTGTGTTTTACATGTGCGCTTAACTCTCTGTCGCATTGAAATAACCTCGACTTCGACGGGCTAGTTTCATGATTATGGTCGAGGTGGACCATGTTAGTTCTCCAAGTTCCATAAATATCTGCAGATGCCTAGATTCTAGCTTTACAGCCCATCTGAATTGTTGGTTGTGGCTTTAATGATTCGCTAGTATTACCAAGTCTTCGACCTTCACGGCTACACGTCAGTGTCACATATCTCAATTGTCCATCATCTCCCCTTTTCGAGTTCCTTTTCTTAACGGGAAAACCAACGGTGTATGCATATTTTAATCATTAAACTACATAAGGTACAATCACATCGTTTCCTAATAAGGTTTGACCTTCTACTATGTTAACGGAGTCCGTTCCGTTCTCATCATCTGATTCCATCGAAACATCACTGTGCTTGTTTGGCACTTCATCCATAATTTCTTCGGCTGCAATAACATAATCGTTCACGTTCAGTAATACAGTAACTAACACTACGATACATAGTTACAACATTATTCTCCAACACGTTCTTTACTTCAACAGAGAGCATATGCTTATCAATAAAATTAGAATGTAATGAAAATTTAGTACATAATTCATGAATACTTTAATTGATTTTACACAATCTGAAGAGCATAACATAGAGCATAAATTTGGTGGTAAAATGAACGTGTTCTGAAATTGCAATTTAGTGTCTGAAGCTTAGATTAAAAACTAATACCAGAGAGAAAGAATGCAAGTTCTCTAAAAACTAATTCAGTATAGATTAAAAACTAATCTTCAGATTGAAGAAGAAGAATGAACAGGACATAAATTTACGAATAAGGAAAATTGCGATTTAGTGTCTGAAACTCTCAAAATAAATATCATTATTCTCGACAAATTTGGTGTTAAAATGAACAAGACATGAAATTTTAATAACGAATAAATAGAAGATAATAAAATTATAATATCATTCCTAATCTCCTCAACCACCCCCAACTTCAACAATGTGAAGAGCCACAACACCATCACCATGGAAACACCAAAATAATAACTAAAGAAACATCAATAGTACATCAATTAACGAAAAACAAATTAATCTAGGAAATAACGTACGTTTTCTTCTCTTGGCTGGAGCAATCTCTCGAAATAATCTGATGAAAAATCGCTTACTAATTTGGGGGAAAATTCTTCTCTTCGCCAGAGACGTCACACTTACTAAATAGGATTCTAAGATTTTTCAATTTGGGGAATAGTTTAATGAATGATGCTTAATTGTTATTAATGAGATTTTCTGTTGTGCGCTCCATTTTCTGCTGTGGGTTCCTTCAAACCCACACTCGCATGTATTTATCGTCTGCTCTCACGCGGTAATGTTTCCCTCCAACTAATAACCCTCACACGAGAAATTTTGAATCCCCATCAAGAGGATGTCAATGACCTTGGCCAACAAGATTAATTTGTAATCAAATACGTCTATGAAAGTATATTGAACAATTAAATATGCCTTCCTTACGTACATCGTCCTGCTTCTGTGTTTGAGAATCTAATGGTAATGGAACGTTAGTCGTGAAATTCGTTTGTCATGTCAGCTATTCTGTTAAAAACATAAAGGCTATGCCCCTGTTTGGCCCCATTAAATTAAATTAAATTAAATTACATTACATTAAATTTCTCTATCTTCATTACAATTACATATTTATCAAATAAAATAATATTACACACAAATCTAAAACTTTTCAACCACACATTCCCCCATCAATTAATATTCTAAAAATTTTCAACCCCAAAAAATGGGGGCAAACATGGGCTCAGTTGACTTGAC